GTATGCATAATTAATTAGTTAGCCTCATTTGAATTTGTAATAGCTAGTTAATTAAGTTAATTCATTTGTGTTGTAATAATTAGTTAATAAGCTAATTAAGACATTCATTCGGACCCTTTTGTGTGAGGGAAAATTTGTAACACTTGTAATATTTGTATGTCTTCCAACCCCTATTTCCTTCTCCCTTTTATTTATATGCTTACCATGGTAGCATCATGTTTTCCATTCTCATATGATTGCCATGCTTCGTATCCATGTTTTGCATGCATTGGATTCGGTTCATCATTCTAACATTGTTGCCATTTCCTACTTACTTGAATACGTGCGTTGCCGCATGTTTTAAGTTGATCCGTATGAAATAAACCGAACCTAATAGTTGCACTTTATATATGTTGCATTAGTCATTTTGCATACTTAGGAATATGCATCTTTTTCTAATTATTTTCTTCTCTTTGGCTTGCCTCAGTTGAGTACTAAGCTATCGTTTTTGCTTTAGCATATTCCATGTATGTTTGTGTTGCCATATCAAGCATATTACCATGAGGCTAAGTGCTTATTTGATATACCTCTTTGAATGCCTGTGGTTGGAGGCTATTTCGCTTAAGCTGGATGATTTTGATTGATGTACACATGAGCTTGTTTTTTCAAGTAATACATATTCAAAACACTTTTCAAACAAACATTGAAATCAAAAGCATTCTAAAGTAAGCGACGTGGTCTATATTTGTGTGCCTCACATGGTAAAATTAGCATAACAATCAGGACATGAGCATGTAATGTAAATAAAAATCACATCATAATTAGTAGAAGACGATTTTTGATCGGGTGAGTGGAGTGCTCAATTCATGACTTTCCCCTCTCATACTTAGGTTCCTGAACCAAGACAACTTTAGTTACGACGGACAAATGGCCTTTGGCACGAGTCACGAGTTTCTTAAATTTCTCAAAAATATTTAGGTGGCAACTCTGAAATCTAGCAATGCAGTCCATTTTCGGCATCTCCGATGTTAAATGGATTTTCTAAAGATTTGCTAGATTTGGACTCTCATTTGTGTTTTTTCTGTTTCACATTGCAGTTGTGAAGCTAGATTCAGAACCACATGAGTCCAAACTGTAGGGCTATCGTATCCAAGGAGACTAAACCCCTCCAAGGAGCAACGAGAAACCGACTACAATGAGACCAAACGTTTTTGCCATTCTATTTATTGGTTTGATTCAACTATTCGATAAAACCAAGAATATTATCAGTTTTTTTCTAGTTTTAAAATTGATAACATTATCAATTTTTCATTTTTAATTTTTTTGTTTCAAATCTGCACATCAATGTTCCATCATCATGCTCCTTTATAGACAAAAAAATTTCAGTTTTGCACAAAAAATAATTCAGTTTTTTTTTAATTTTTTCAAAAAAAAAAAAAACCCATTTTGGTTCTAGTTTTCAAAAAATAGTTTTAAGAAAATTTTATATTTTAATTTTATGTATTTTTAATATTTTCAATGAATTTTTTTAATATTTTAAACAGTTGTTTTTAATTTTTAGATACGCCTAACATAAATACACTTAAAAAGTATAATATTTGTGAAAAAAAAATCTTCAAAAGATACACTAAATACCAAAAAATACAAAACAAAAAAACAAAAATTCAATACATTTTCGTATTTTTGTGTATTTATTATAATTTTTAAATATTTTTTCACAAATATTTTAATATTTAGAAACATCTAAGTAAGGGGCATCTAAAAGAATAAAAAAAATTTCCTTAAAATTTTAAAAATATTCACTAAAAACAAAAAACACGAAAGACAAAAACTCATTTTTTAGAAAACTGAATTTAGAAAACTGAAACCAAACACACTGATTATTTATTTATTTTTATTTTTTTTGTACATTTGTTTTTTAGTTTTTTCAATTTGAAATTTGATATTTTAAAGTTTTGAAATCAAAATAAATGTCAAATCATCATGTTACTTTATAGATAATCCTAAATGATGAACAATTATTATTTAAAGGGCAATTCCGACTATTAAAAATTTAATGAGATTTGAAGGTCTAAAAAATCTTAATTAGAACTTAGTGGAGTATAAATTCATAAATTAGAACTTGTGTGTAAATACCTCTAAAAAAATATTACAAATGAAATCATTATTTACTATTGTGAGGGAATAGAGTAATGGATGACTGTTTCATTCAATTCAATTTTATTTCAGTGTATCAAATATTACATTATAATATTAGTGGTTTAAAATGAAGTTATACAGAATTCAAAAAAGAAAAAAAAAATTTGGTGAATTATTTAAAAGTAATGAATGGTTGTTTGCCAAAGATATAAAATTGAAGTTAATCAAATTTTACAATTCAATCTACTAAGTGCTCGTTTGGTAATGACTTTTTTAGTTGGCTTTTTGATTTTTTTGATTTTTTTAGCCTGAGACTTTTTTGGTCGTTTGGTATTCTTGTTTGGTTTTTTTGACTTTTTAACTTTGGAATGGAAGTTTTTCTTTTTTTTTTGGTCTTTTTGTGATTTTTTGATTTTTTTTTTTTATCCTTTTGTGATTTGTTAGCCCTAACTCAAATACCAAACGACTTCAAAAAATAGCGTGAATAAATTAATAATGTTAACAAGCAAAAATATTCAAAATGTATCTCAATAATTATAATTTACGTCAATCTCCGTGACTATGATTTATGATTTATGTCAATTATAAAAATCATATAAAACTGTTCTAAAAATATAATATTATAATTATTATAAAAAAACAATTTCTTATTTAATATTATAAGTGAATTCTTATTTTTATTTTTATTTTTATTTTTTAATTTTTTTTTTACAAACATTAATATGTTAATATAATTAAATTACAACTAAAATAGCCTGCCTTTGTTTTATTAATTCAAATCTCCAATCTCTTTCTCATCACATTGGTCATCTATTTATTTATATATACCCGGTTTGAAAATTAATTATTTTAATTAATTTTTTAAAATTTTATAAAAATATGTAGAAAAATAATTAATAGTGTGACAATAAAGTGTGTTTTTGGCGAAAAGCTATGGTTGCCAAACGGGTATGAAGTAAACAAGTCATTTGATGTTCAAACTTTTTTTCTTATGCTTATATATCTAAGAAAAAATAAAAAAATAAATATTGATGTACTAAAAGGGATTTGAACTTAGGGGGATGCACCAATAAATTTCAAATTAATAACTTATACACTGTTTAGTTCTAAAAGTTTTCTTATAGACTGAAAGGTCCCATTACAATGTTTCAAACATCAGATTAATGTTTCGAACATTAGATTTCGAACATCAAATTAATGTTTCAAACATTAGATTGATGTGCAAATAGGACTAAATAGAGCATAAGAAAACTTTTAGGACTAAATGGTTCAACTTTTCAGAAACTAAGACTTATGGATAAATTTTTCTAAAATTAAATTAAATAAAATATAGATATATATTATTTAAATTTTATTTATTTATTTTATTTTTAAATCATTTCTTAAATCCCAACCAAAAAGCTCTGAAGATGTTAGGGCCGGCCGTGCTGAATAGATTACTCCAGAGTCGGTCAACTGAATTACATTTGATGAGATGGTTTGGTGGTAGTACAGCTCTTCGCTTTTGTTTCCTCTTTACTTTTGGCCTTGCAATTCTGCTTTCAATGTTTGAATTTGGATCCAAAATCAAGAAGCCAGTTGCTCCATCTGCTTCTCCACTCTGAGAGATCAGTCTATTTTTTTTTTCTTTTTCATTTTTTTGTTTCAACCCCACAAACCCATTTCAAGATTCTCTGGTCATCACCAGTTTTCCTGCAAAAATCCCAGTTTTTTGGCCGGTTGTCATGTCAGAAAACTCACCATCTTTTCCTTAGAAACATTTGTTTCTTTCAAATTTTGTTTTGTTTTGTTTTGTTTTCTTCTTAATGCCCAAAACCTGGTTCTTGATGTTTGAGATTCATGTCTCTCCAACAGCCTGTGGACAAATTCAACTCTGGCTTCCTCAAGTCTTTCTGATTCAAGTACCCAATATCTAATCCTTTTTTAGATAAAACAAAAATTGAGATAGTAACACCGGAATCGGGCTCGGAAAGCTGTAAATAAACTGTGTGTGTGTATGTGTGGGAGAGAAGAGTGATGGATGGAACTGCTATGGATTCTGTCTTGAAGAAACTGGAGCAGCTGATTAACTTTAAGGGCAATTTGATTGTAAATGAGAGGTATCAAATTCAGTCTCTTTACAATCAGCTAAGATTCCTTGGAGCCATTCTCAAGGATGTGGAGGAGAAGCACCATGAGAACAGCGTAGCTGAAAACCTGGCGATAAAAATTAGTGGCGTGGCCTATGCGACAGGAGAAATCATCCACCCTGCTGTTGCCAATTTTGTAAGGCTGAGGGAGAGCAACAAGGATAAGAAAATTGGTTTTTGCTTAAATCTCAGTGATATCATGGAACAGATTAGGCCCATCGAGGTAGAAGTGATGCAGTTTTATGACAAGATGTATCAGATCCAAGTCCTAGAAGCCGGAAAGTCTTCTGATGGAGACCGCCTGTCTATGGGGAATAGAACCATGGTAGGGGAAGAAATTATGGTGGGCTTTGACGATGAGGTGTTGACTATAAAAAAGCGACTTGCTGGAGGGAAGAAGCAGCTAGACATTATACCAATTGTTGGGATGCCTGGACTCGGTAAGACAATTTTAGCCAGAAAAGTGTACAATGATCCTTATATCACACACCACTTTCATATTCGTGCATGGACTTATGTTTCTCAAGTACCCAGAAAAAGAGAAATGTTATTGGACATTTTACATTTTGTTAATGTCTTTACCGAGGAAGTTGAAGACATGAGCAATGAAAAGTTGGGTGAAAAATTGAACAAGAAATTAAAGGAAGTTACAAACATGAGCAATGAAATGTTAGGCGAAAAGTTGTATAGGCACTTTAAGGGGAACAGATATCTCATTGTCATTGATGATATTTGGGACAGTGCTGCCTGGGTCGATCTTAAAATGTATTTACCAAATGATAACAATGGAAGTAGAGTTATGTTTACTAGTCGGCTCAAAGCGGTGGCTATGCATGCGTCACCTAATTGCCATCCTCATTGTCAGCGTTTTCTAACTGAAGAAGAAAGTTGGGAGTTATTACAACGGAAGGTGTTTCAGAATGGAAGTTGCGCTGCAGAACTGATTAACTTTGGGAAGCAAATAATGAAAAAATGCGAAGGGCTTCCACTTGCAATTGTAGTAATAGCAGGACTTCTTGCAAAGAAGAAGACAGAAGAGTGGTGGAAACAAGTTTCCCAAGGCGTTAGCTCGTACATTGTTAGTGATCCAAACGAGTACTTGGACACACTAGCACTGAGTTACAATCACTTGCCTCGTCACTTGAAACCATGCTTCCTTTATTTAGGAGCATTTACAGAAGATCGAGAAATCTCGGTGCAAAGATTAATCTGGTTATGGATAGCTGAGGGGTTTATACAAAAAGTTGGGCAGAAAAGCTTGGAGGAAGTAGCGGAGGATTACTTAATGGATCTAATTCAGAGAAATCTGGTAATTGTTGCTCGAAAAAGGTTTGATGGTAGAATTAAAGCATGCCGCATGCATGATCTTTTGCGTGATTTATGCTTGAAGAAAGCTAGGGAAACTAATTTCCTACAGTAGACTCACAATAGTTAGTAGAGGCCGATCTTTGATCAGGTGGGTGGGGTGCTCAATTCATGACCCTCCCCTCTCATACTTAAGTTCCTGAACCAAGACAACTTTGGTTACAACAGACAAGTGGCCTTTGGCACGAGTCATAAGGTTTCTTAAATTTCTCAAAAATATTTAGGTGGCAACTCTGAAATCTGGCAATGCAGTCCATTTTCGACATCTCCGATGATAAATGGATTTTCTAAAAATTTGTTGGATTTGGACTCTCATTTGTGTTTTTCTATTTCACATTGCACTTGTGAAACTAGATTCAAAACCACGGGAGTCCAAACTGTAGGGCTATCGTATCCGAGAAGACTAAACCCCTCCAAGGAGCAACGAGAAACCGACTGCAATAAGACTAAACGTTTTTGCCATTCTATTTATTAGTTTGATTCAACTATCCAATAAAACCAAAAATATTATCAGTTTTTTCCAGTTTTAAAATTGATAACATTATCATTTTTTTTAATTTTTAAAGTGTTTTTTTTCAATTCTGCACATCAATGTTCCATCATCATGCTCCTTTATAGACACAAAATTTTCAGTTAGTTTTTTAAAATTTTGTCAAAAAAACAAAAAAACCATTTTGGTTATGGTTTTCAAAAAAACAGTTTTAAGAAAATTTTACTTTTTAATTTTCTGTATTTTTAATGTTTTCAATAAATTTTTTTAATATTTTAAGCAGTTGTTTTTAATTTTTAGACACACCTAACATAAATACACTTAAAAAGTATAATATTTGGTAAAAAAAACTTTAAAAAATACATTAAATACCAAAAAATACACAAGAAATATGAAAATTCAATGCATTTTTCGTATTTTTGTGTATTTATTATTATTTAAAAATATTTTTTCATAAATATTTTACTATTTAGAAAAATCTAAGTAAGGTGCATCTAAAAAAATAAAGGAAAAATTAATCTAAGATCCCTCTCCCATTTTTAGTAATGGAAGAGATCCACAATATTATTTTATGATGTCTAAGATCCCTACAGAGAAATTTGATATCCAATTCTATTCTAACCTGAAAAATCGACACTGTATGAAGTCATCTTCTCACACAAACACACACTCTCTCTCTATTTATTATTATTTAAAAATATTTTTTTATAAATATTTTACTATTTAGAAAAATCTAAGTAAGGTGCATCTAAAAAAATAAAGGAAAAATTAATCTAAGGTCCCTCTCCCATTTTAGTAATGGAAGAGATCTACAATATTATTTTATGATGTCTAAGATCCCTACAAAGAAATTTGATATCCAATTCTATTCTAACCTGAAAAATCGACACTGTATGAAGTCATCTTCTCACACAAACACACACTCTCTCTACCTTCTCTCTCTAAAACTATATATATATATATATATATATATCTCTAAAACAGTCGGCACTGTTTTGAGACTCTTTCTCACTCATCTTCTTCAGTTTATGTATGGCACAAACCTCAACTTTCTTTGTCAAACAAAGCAACACGATGAACCGAAACATCGGGAACAATTTTGTGATCCCATCTGCCTCCATTCACACACTCTCCGCGATCGGAATGATAATCTGCGTCGCAGCCTATGAGAAGATTTTTGTTCTGGCACTCAGGAAAGCCACCGACAACGAACAAGGCATCAGAATCCTCTAGAGGATCAGCATTGGCATGGTATTCCCAGTTATAGCCATGGCTATAACGGCATTAGTGGAACGAAAGAGGCTAAGAGAAGTAGAGAGAGAGATTGGTAGAGTAGAGAGAGTCGGTTATCTGTCTATGAACGTGTTCTGGTTAGCTTCTAAGTTCATCATTCTTGGGATTGGAGATGGGTTTATACTTGTTAGCCTACAGGAGTACTTCTATGATCAAGTTTCAGATTCAATGAATTTGTGTGTGTTCGTGTGGTATATATATGGTGTGTGTTTGGACTAGTGAACAGAATTTTTTTTTCATTTGAATTGAATTTTCTTTGGGTTGAAACCAGAGAAATTCTTTGGTTTCGAGCTGGAACCTAGAATGCTTAATTTGTATAAAACCCAATGTTTGTGAAATCAAATTTTCAAACCCTCTTGTTGAGAAGGAGAGCAATATTGATGTTGTTCAATTTCATCTCTCATTCTCTCCAGAGAAATTCTCATCTAGGAATTTCTCTGGAGAGAATTTCTCTGATTGAGTTTTCTCTCTGTCCTCACCATAGTGGTGATTGATTCGTAGATGATGTTTTTTCTAGATTAGATTTGAGTTGACTCAGTGAGTTGGTGCTCAATTGGATTACTCTTAATTTTTCTCTAGATTACTCTTGAATTTTCTCTGGATTTGACAATTTTCTCTGGATTACCTTTGAATTTTCTCTGAATTTGGTAATTTTCTCCGGATTACCCTCGAATTTTCTTTGGTTTCAATTTTCTTTGATTTTTCTCTGGTTTGAATTTTCTCTGGTAAAGGATTTGAATTTCTCTGGTAAGGACATAGAGTTTGAATTTTCTCTGTTCATGATGGCATTTGTTAAGGACATAGAGTTTCAGATCTTCTTTGAGAAAGGGTGTGTGCTTCTTCATATTGCCATTGATCTAGAGAGTTTACTTTGAGAGGAAGCTTGAAATACTCAGCCACGAAATTTCTCTAGAGAGAAACAGAGAATTTCTCTGGACCAGAATTTCTCTGGATCAAATTGAGGGACCTTAGACATTATAAAAATATTAGATGTCCTTTATACTATAAAATCTTAATACCATGGACCCTAAAAAAAAAACCCCCCAAAAACAAAACAATTTCCTTAAAATTTTAAAAATATTCACTAAAAACAAAAAACACGAAAGACAAAAACTCAATTTTTAGAAAACTGAAACCAAACACACTGGTTATTTATTTATTTATTTTTGTACATTTGTTTTTTAGTTTTTTCAATTTGAAAGTTGATATTTTAAAATTTTGAAAATCAAAATAAATATCAAATCATCATGTTCCTTTATAGATGATCATAAATGATGAACAATTATTATTTAAAGGGTAATTCTGACTATTAAAAATTTAATAGGATTTGAAGATCTAAAAAATCTTAGTTAGAACTTAATGGAGTAGGAGTTCATAAATTAAGACTTGTGTTTAAATACCCCTAAATAACTATTACAAACGAAATCATTTTTTACTATTGTGAGGGAATAAAGTAATAGATGATTGTTTCATTCAATTCAATTTTATTTTAGTGAACCAAATATTACATTATAATATTAGTAGTTTAAAAATGAAGTTATACAGAATTCAAAAAAGAAAAAAAAAAATTGGTGAATTATTTAAAAGTAATGAATGGTTGTTTGTCAAATATATAAATTATTTATAGAATATTGTTTGATTATACTAGTTACAATTGTTTCTGAAAAAATAATTTTTTAAAAGTTGAAGTTAATCAAATTTTACAATTCAATCTACTAAGTGCTTGTTTGGTAGGGGTCAAATTTTGGCTCGGCCCATCCGGGCTCAGGCCCATATCGGGTTTGAGATTCATGTCTCTCCAACAGCCTGTGGACAAATTCAACTCTGGCTTCCACAAGTCTTTCTGATTCGAGTCCCCAATATCTAATCCTTTTTTAGACCACAAAAATTGAGATAGTAACACCGGAATCGGGCTCGGAGAGAAGAGTGATGGATGGAACTGCTATGGATTCTATCTTGAAGAAACTGGAGCAGCTGATTAACTTTAAGGACAATTTGATTGTAAATGAAAGGTATCAAATTCAGTCTCTTTACAATCAGCTAAGATTCCTTGGAGCCATTCTCAAGGATGTGGAGGAGAAGCACCATGAGAACAGCGAAGCTGAAAACCTGGCGATAAAAATTAGTGGCGTGGCCTATGAGACAGGAGAAATCATCCACCCTGCTGTTGCCAACTTTGTAAGACTGAGGGAGAGCAACAAGGATAAGAAAATTGGTTTTTGCTTAAATCTCAGTGATATCATGGAACAGATTAGGCCCATCGAGGTAGAAGTGATGCAGTTTTATGACAAGATGTATCAGATCCAAGTCCTAGAAGCCGGAAAGTCTTCTGATGGAGACCGCCTGTCTATGGGGAATAGAACCATGGTAGGGGAAGAAATTATGGTGGGCTTTGACGATGAGGTGTTGACTATAAAAAAGCGACTTGCTGGAGGGAAGAAGCAGCTAGACATTATACCAATTGTTGGGATGCCTGGACTCGGTAAGACAATTTTAGCCAGAAAAGTGTACAATGATCCTTATATCACACACCACTTTCATATTCGTGCATGGACTTATGTTTCTCAAGTACCCAGAAAAAGAGAAATGTTATTGGACATTTTACATTTTGTTAATGTCTTTACCGAGGAAGTTGAAGACATGAGCAATGAAAAGTTGGGTGAAAAATTGCACAAGAAAATAAAGGGAAA